AAAATGGCCGCGGACCACGTGTCGGGGCAGAAAAATGGCCGCAGACCACGTGTCGGGCGGAAAAATGGCCGCGGACCACGTGTCGGGGCAGAAAAATGGCCGCAGACCACGTGTTGGGCGGAGAAATGGCCGCGGACCACGTGTCAGGGCAGAAAAATGACCGTAACCCGAGGCAGAGTTCGCACATCGAGGTAAATTTTTGCAGCCGGAGCTGGTTGTAACCCGAAAAGTTCATTAGTAGAGGTGTTTGTATCCCGAGGTACCACTGTAGGTCTTCAAATTGGGTCTGCTTCTCATAAACAAACAAGTAAGTGGAAGAAAGTATGAGAAAGTAGGCCAGTGTGCTGTTGCCATTCCTAATTCTTAAATGCTAATTAGTTAATATGTGTACCAGACCAATGCTAGCTTGTGTTTAAGGTGTATTTCTTATCTTTGTATTTTAGAACACTCCACAATTAATTTTATTTATCACTCAATAAATAACCCAGGACTATTTATTTCAGTGGTTTAGACAGCAACAAGGATGCATAATTAAGAACAGTGTGGAAACATTGCCTTGATGTTCTTCACTGGATATTTTGGTTATTTTGATGTATTTTTTAATACTAATTTACTAAAAATTACAATTACATAGATAAAAAACGAATACAAACTAAAAGAAAAAAAGAAAAAATAGAAGGTGCAGAAAAGAAAATAGAAAAAAATAGAAAAGAAAGAAAAAATAAGACTATAGTAAAGAAAAAGAAAACAAATATATAAAGAAATTGCTTCTCCCTTCATCACAAGTATAAACAATTTTAGTAACTTATCACCTCTTAAAATACAACAAATGATCTCCTCTTCTATAAAGAAATTGCTTCTCCCTTCATCACAAGTATAAACAATTTTAGTAACTTATCACCTCTTAAAATACAACAAATGATCTCCTCTTCCCTTATTTATTTGTTTGTTTGTTTGTTTGTTTTTCAAATTTGTCACCGCCCATCTCACTATGAGGTGACTCTCGGCAGTTTACAGTAAAAATAGAATAAATTGTGATTAAAATAAATAAATATTAATTAAATAATTACAATATGTTCAAAACACACTTCCTTTATAATACATCCAAGAGGCAGATGTTAATCAGATGTTAATAAACTCAGGGCGCATCGTCAAGATGCCAGCCATCCCCAGGGTTGATTGTATCTTTCCTCGCCTCTGGCAAGTTGGCAGAGCCAAGTCTTCAATTCCCTGCGAAAAATTAGGAGGGTCAGGGCCCGCCTCACCTCTGGGGGGAGAGTATTCCATAGGGCAGGGGCAAAGGCAGAGAAGGCTCTCCTCCTAGGAGCCACCAGTTGACATTCTCTCACTGATGGGATCCGCAACATGCCTTCTCTGCCAGACCAGGTAGGACAGGTCAATGTAATGGGGGTGAGACAGTCCCTCAGGTAGCCTGGACCCATGCCATGTAGGGCTTTAAAGGTAATAACCAACACCTTGAATTGGACCGGAAACAAACCGGAACCAATGCAGCTCCTGCAGCAAAGATATTACACGTGCCCTCTTGGGGCACCCATAATTACCCATGCAGCCGCATTTTGAACCAGCTGTAGCTTCTGGATACTCTTTAAGGGTAGCCCCATGTAGAGCACATTGCAATAGTCTAAACGAGAGATGACCAGGGCATGAGTGACAGTTCAGAGGGACTCCTGATCCAGGAAGGGGCGTAACTGGCGCACAACACGACTGCCACCTGCTTCTTGAGCAGGAGTTGTAAGTCTAGGAGGACCCCCAGATTATGCACTGGGTCTGTGGGGCAGTGCAACCCTATCGAGAATCGAAGATGGTAAACCCCCAGATATAGAGGGGCCTCCAATCCACAGCCATTCCATCTTAGCAGGGTTCAGTTGAAGCCTGTTTTTCCCCATCCAGACCCCCACAGCCTCCAGGCACCACGAAAGGGTGGTCACAGCATCATTCACATCACCCAGGATGGAGATGTATAATTGGGTATCATCTGCGTACTGATGATACCTCATCCCATGGTGGCGGATGATCTCACCCAGTAGTTTCATGTAGATGTTAAACAGGAGCGGCAAGAGTACTGAACCCTGCAGTACCCCACAACAGAGGGGCTGTGGGCCAGACCTCTCACTCCCAATCAACACCGATTGGTACTGACCCTGGAGGAAGGAAGTGAACCAGCACAAACCTGTGCTGCCCATGCCCAACTCCCTAAGTCGGCCCAAAAGGATACCATAGTCAAAGATATGGAAAGCCGCTGAGAGGTCAAGAAGAGCGAGGATGGATGCACTACCCCCATCCCGTTCCCACCAGAGATCATCCATGAGTGTGACCAATGCTGTTTCCATCCCATATCCGGGCCTGAAACCTGACAGGAAA